AAAAATCTGGCTTGTGTGAAAGGCCAGTGATAAGCTCTTTATCATTCCTTAAGACAATGTTTGACAAACTTAATATTTAAATATGGCAGACTGGCCCAAAATACTTTTATTCTGAAAATTAATTATCTCTCATTATGTTACAAGTTGTATAAAGAACTCCATACACAACATTTTAACCAAATTAAATTACATTTAATACTGTTGCCAAATAGTTCACATTAAAAAAAAATTGTTCTTTTTTCTTATCAAATAATAACCTAAACCTTATCAAAAAATATAACGGTCAGTGTTCAGGTAATGCTTATCATCATATATAAAATGGGGAGACCTTTGACAAGCTGCCGGCTTCCTGTCCCTGTCAAGGCCTCTAGAGAAATAATGGCCCTCAGGTAAATTATTAGTATATTTAAATAGTAAATAAATAAATAATTTACTTAAGTAAATCTAAATAATCTTAAGTAAATTTAAATAATTTACTTATTTAATTAAATAATTTAAATAATCTTAAGTAAATTTAAATAATTTACTTAAGATCATTCTGCTACCTTCACCAAAGTGTTAACATCATAAGTGGTGAGGAAATACTGCAATTATAAAATATATTGATTTAAATTTAAATTGTCTGGCGGCAGCATTAAGTATTCTCATAACTTGGCTGAAATTGTAGTGTTTTGGTACAACTTATAACACGTTGTTACAAGATCAAGACCGTTTACGAGATGATAAAATACATCTCAAAAACAACCTTATCTGTCTGGGATGCTCCCGGACGCAGGTTCGAATCCTCGTCACGGCCCTGGTGGATTTGTACATCTCAAAAAGCCTATGCCAACACTAACACATTAAAGTATCATAATATTGATGTTTTTTGTAATGCATGAGCCTCGTAGCCTGTCCTCGGGCACTATATATACAACCCGTTCTCGCAAATTTAATAAGTCAATATTGACTTATTAAATAAGTGCATAGGTGACATACTTAACATAATAGATACCCTTAAAAAGATTCATAGAAAACACCGACCTTACCTAACCTTGTTAGTATCTTAAGATAAGCATCTTATTGCTTCGTAATTACAATTATTACCTAACCTATAATAGGTATAGGTTAAGTAATAATTGTAATTACGAAGCGATAAGATGCTTATCTTAAGATACTAACAAGGTTAGGTAAGGTTGGTGTTTTCTATGAATCTTTTTAAGGGTATCTATTATGTTTAGTATATCACCTATGCACGTAGTTAATAAGTCAATATTGACTTTACGAATTTGCGAGAACGGGTTGCAACATAGGCTCTTCCAACAGATAGTTGCGGACCCGCTCCTGTGCCAGGTAAGTTACGGGCTCACCATAACCCGTGCTGCTTGGAACTTGTTCCGAGTAGCTTAATCTATAACAACAACAGATGGTTGGCCTCACAATTGCCAACCATCTGTTAACATATGTGTATGTTAACACACATACTGTGCATGTTAACATACTGTGTATTGGCCTCACAAGACCAATACACAGTATGTTAAAATTGATGAATGCATCTGGGGGGTTCGGCCGCTGCTTTAACAGCCTAGCCAAGCCAAGAACTGATATACTTAAAAGTAATTAGAACTAGAGACTCCTGCGGAGAGTATATGATTGCCTATTTCAGAGAGAAGGGTGCCGAGGCTGTCCTGACTGTAGGAGCAGTCTACAGAATTCCTAACACTGATGTGTTCAACAGTCTCCGTGGTGTAGTGGTAAGACACTCGCCTGGCGTTCCGCGAGCGCTATGTCATGGGTTCGTATCCTGGCCGGGGAGGATTTACTGGGCGCAATTCCTTAACTGTAGCCTCTGTTTAACGCAACAGTAAAATGTGTACTTGGTTGTAACAACGATTCTTCGCGGCGGGGATCGTATTCCAGGGACCTGCCCGAAACGCTACGCGTACTAGTGGCTGTACAAGAATGTAACAACTCTACACAACTACTGTATATATAAATAAAACAAATCCAACCTTAGAAATCTAATACTAGCTAACAGACTTAACAATAACCAACTAATAATTTCGGGGGATTTTTATATTGACCTCTGCGAGCCTGATAACCCCTCACGCTACTAATTTCCTCAACTGTATGAATTCAACATTTGGCTGGTTCTTATCTCCAGTATATTTATGACAGCTGAGTTTTGCTGGGTTCCCAGCCATATCCTGGCCGGGGAGGATTGACCAGGTACCAATCCTTAACTGTAGCCTCTGTTCACCCAGCAGTGAATGGTTACCTGGTTGTTAAACGATTTGGCGGGCCGTATTCCAGGGAAATTAGGGTTAAGGACCTGCCCGAAACGCTACGCGTAATAGTGGCTTTACAAGAATGTAAACTCTTGTATATTGTCCTATGCTAATGAAACAAGTCACAACTAAAAGCCTAAACACTCCATGGCTTACAAAGGGTATACTTAAATCTAATAATAAAAAAAACATGACCATGAGAAGAAGTATAGGTTAGGAATTGTCTCCAAAGAAGTTTCAAAGATTTACTCACCAATGTTGTCTAAAATAATTAGGAGAGCCAAAATAAAATACTACGAAAGTGAATTTACCCAAATTAAGGGCAACATTCAGAAAACATGGGGCACAAGGGGCCTCGTAGCCTGGTGGATAGCGCGCAGGATTCGTAATTCTGTGGCGCGGGTTCGATTCCCGCACGAGGCAGAAACAAATGGGCAAAGTTTCTTTCACCCTGAATACCCCTGTTACCTAGCAGTAAATAGGTACCTGGGAGTTAGTCAGCTGTTACGGGCTGCTTCCTGGGGATGGAGGCCTGGTCGAGGACCTGGCCGCGGGGACACTAAAGCCCTGAAATCATCTCAAGATAACCTCAAGATAACCACTATCTCCCAAATATTAGGATCAAAACAGATTTTAAATAAAAAAACAATCCTCTTATCCAATGATGATGGTGGGCTTTCAGTCTCTGGCACTGTTGTTGAATTCAATAGTTTCTTCTCATCCATTGGGACATCCCTTGCTAATGACATTCCTTCCTCCCTAACTAATGTTCAGGACTACCTTACATGAAACTACCCACAATCTCTGTACCTAACTCCACTGATGTTAATGAGATAATCCTTTATCTTAAAACTAAGTCAAGCGCCCTTGAGGAGATATCATCTCTAATATACAGAAAAGCCTCCAGATTTCTAGCTCCTGCCATTGCATTGCTCTTCAACAAGTCACTTGAACTCCAAACCTTTCCAGATATTCTAAAAAAAAAGCGAGAGTAACGCCTGTCCACAAATGTGGTGATCTCACAGATGTTAACAACTACAGACATATATCAATCCTGCCAAACTTGTCAAAAATATTTAAAAAACTAATCTACAAGCAGCTTTACTCTTATCTAGCCAAACAATATACTTAGCTCTTGTCAATACGGCTTCAGACCCAAAAAAGCACTAACGATGCACTTATTAGTATGATTAACTTGATACACGCAGCTCTTGATAAAAATGAGTTCCCTGTTGGGTTATTTGTTGACCTGCGTAAGGCAATATCTTCAGCCTTACCATACTGACAGGCTCCAGTATCTGAGCCTGTCATTCACAGGAAACATACTGGAACACCTCCAGTATGTTTCTGTGAATGATTCAATTTCTCCCACCCTACCCATCAACATTGGTGTTCCTCAGGGCAGCATACTTGGCCCTCTCCTCTTTCTCATCTACATTAATGACCTTCCAAATGCCTCCCAACACCTCAAACCAATTCTATTTGCTGACGACACAACCTTCATTTACTCCAGTCCTGACCCTCTTGCTCTAAATGCCACAGTAAATACTGAACTAAATAAAGTCCATCTTTGGCTAACTACCAACAAACTCACCCTTAACATTGACAAAACTTTCTATATTTTGTTTGGCAATAAATCCTCAAATCAAATTAATCTAAGAATAAACAATACCCAAATTAGTAACAAAGTAGATGGCAAATTCCTTGGTGTCCTCATCGACCACAAGCTGAATTTCCAGGGACACATTCTAAATATAACAAAAAAGTTTCTAAAACTGTTGGCATTCTTTCTAAGATCAGATATTATGTTCCTCGTCCTGCCTGATTTATTTTTTTTTTTGGGGGGGGGGGAAATCCGTAGAGTGATTTCTTTACAGATTTCCAAATCTGAGAATGGACTGGCCTATCTTGAGATGATTTCGGGGCTTAGCGTCCCCGCGGCCCGGTCCTCGACCAGGCCTCCTTGTTACACATTCCCAGGGAAGCAGCCCGTAGCAGCAGTTTAACTCTCAGGTACCTATTTACTGCTAGGTGAACAGGTGCATCAGAGTGAATGAAACTGTCCATTTGTTTCCGCCTACACCGGGGATCGAACCCGGAACATCAGGATTACGAATCCCGAGCGCTGACCACTCAGCTGATAGTGTAAGAGTACAAAGGGTCAATCTCTATTTAAGTAATAAGTGTAGTTAAGTTTATGCGGCAATTTGCAACAACAAAGTCAACACTAATGTCCACAACTAATGCAACACACACACATGCAGCTGAACATTTACACTCGCACACACCTGCCTGCGGGCACACACACCTGCCTGCGGGCACACACACCTGCCTGCGGGCACACACATCTGCCTGTGGGCACACACATCTGCCTGTGGGCACACACACCTCTGCCTGCGGGCACACACCTCTGCCTGCGGGCACACACCTCTGCCTGCGAGCACACACATCTGCCTGCGGGCACACACCTCTGCCTGCGGGCACACACATCTGCCTGCGGGCACACACATCTGCCTGCGGGCACACACCTCTGCCTGCGGGCACACACATCTGCCTGCGGGCACACACCTCTGCCTGCGGGCACACACATCTGCCTGCGGGCACACACCTCTGCCTGCGGGCACACACATCTGCCTGCGGGCACACACATCTGCCTGCGGGCACACACCTCTGCCTGCGGGCACACACCTCTGCCTGCGGGCACACACATCTGCCTGCGGGCACACACACCTCTGCCTGCGGGCACACACCTCTGCCTGCGGGCACACACCTCTGCCTGCGGGCACACACATCTGCCTGCGGGCACACACCTCTGCCTGCGGGCACACACCTCTGCCTGCGGGCACACACCTCTGCCTGCGGGCACACACCTCTGCCTGCGGGCACACACCTCTGCCTGCGGGCACACACCTCTGCCTGCGGGCACACACATCTGCCTGCGGGCACACACCTCTGCCTGTGGCGCCAAGCAAACTTAAACATTAATATTTGATTACCCCAGTTGAGCAAGCTTTTATTTAATATCAATAAACAATATAGTTTTAATTAAAGAATGATAAATCAAGTAATGTCAAGCCAGCGACCACACACCATTGGAACAATATTAATTACTCTGACATTTTAAGAACATCAAAATAAAGGTAACTGCAGAAGGCCTATTGGCCAATACGAGGCAGCTCCTAATTATAACCACCCAATAATTTTGTTCCTGCTCCAAAGATATCTAACGAAAATAAGGATAATTTGAGCAAGCTTAATACATTCTTAGATCGTATATTAAGTTTTAAAAGACAAAGCCCAACTATTTCTGTAAATTACAGTTTGCTTTGTGGTTTTCAATACTAACTGAGCCATCAAGTCTCTTAATAAAGGAGAGATTTTCTGTCCTGTACTTAAACTGGATGATATCTTCCTGTTCTTCCAAATATGACATCAAATTCCAAGCGTCAAGAGCCAGAGCAAAGCACGAGGAGTCGACGAAATGATTGCTGTAATAGACCCGGTCGTCGAAGCCTAGTATCTCTTGAGCCAGCTCATCTGTAAGCTTAACGTGCTCGCCGCAGGCAGACAGCTGAGGATAATACCACCTTCTGAACTGTTCTCTACAGTCTGGATGTGAGTACAAGCGGATGTCCCGCTTCTGCAACTGCTTCAGCAATACAAACAGGTCCTCTGGGGTGAGGGACGTTTGTTCTAAGTGGATACCCGTGTAGCAGGTGTGTATAGTACCCAGGAAGTTAGCCAGCTTGGGTATACACGAGGCTTTTGTTCCTTGTAGGTGGATGTCCATAAGAGGCACTGTGCTACACGGTAAATCATTCATGTCTTCCTCCAAGACCAAAAAGTCTATTTTGATTTCCAGCCACAGTAGCTTAGGTAGGAATTGATTAATGACAAGCAAAGTGGATAGAGAGGTTTTGTCCAAGGCTCGCATCTTGATGTATACCAAGTGAGTGAATGCTGGTTGTGAGACCAGTTCTCTGATGGTTCTGAGGGATGCACAGCCAGCCAGGAGATCAATCTTGGTCACTACGTGCTCTCCAAAAAATGCTTTGATAATCCGATCCATTTTATTACCATTACCATACCTGAACTGGCACGTGCTGTCAAGCCATACAAAAATGTCCACGCGACACAAGAAACTAATCACTTGATTTAATTCTGCGTATGGTTTTAGCTCTTCAACATTCAGAAAGATTCTCGTGGGTGCAACATTAAGCAATAGACCTTGTATGGGCACCAGTTGGGCATCGGCTGCACTTATATTCCATTCATCAGGATATTCTGACATCTCCACGATATATTCTAACAGGCGTGGTGTAGCCTTCACTTCAGCAACGAGATCTAAGTTAAAATTTAGATGTTCACTGCTGTCATCGGCGTGGTTGAGGATAGCGCCAATCAGTCTTCGTTCATCCAGTTCCAATAAGCTGCCCCCAGAGCCCCGTTTGAGCTTCAGCATGAGCCCGCCCATAAATAATGCAAGTTGGTATGCACACTGCAATTCCCCAATTAAACTTACTAATTTCTGACATTCGAGGATTTTAAGGTCTGTATACCAAGCAGCAAGGAACTCCTGTTGAACACTGTGAATAGAACTATAGCCTCGTGTGTCTGCTCCGTGAAAGTGGCGTTGTTTGAACACCCCCAACATCAGACTCTGACAAATGGTGCTGGAAAACATGCTTGACGTCTCAGTTTCGAGGCGTGTCATGTAGTCGCCTTCTAATCTTCTGCCGGCCTTGAAGGCTTCGAGAGCACTCTGCCCTGCAAGCTTAAGCCACTGTAATACTTGCTTTTCCGAGCTTGTCTGGGGATCGGAGTGAAGCGCGTGATGGACCTTCCAGAGTATGAGAGTCCAGAGTATATCTGTGGCTGTGGTCACTTCATCATATATACCTGGCTGCTCAATAAAAGCTTCACACACCTGTGAAAGTGTGTGCGGGTGCTTCAACACACGTTCAAGTCTGCAGATATTTTTAGTCAAAAACTTTTTTAAACATTTTGGATCTGTTGATTCTGTCTTGTGGTACACAATTTGTTCAGCCAAGGCAATAATTTCCTCGCGATTATAACCATTCAGATGAAAACTCGTTAAAATAATGTCTGCCCATTCATGTTGTAGTGTGTCATAATAGGAGGGAACTGTTAGAATTATTGCTGAAATGGATTTTGATCCTTGAATAAAATCTTTAACCTTTTCTGCACACTTGTTACACAACTCTTCAGCATCATCAATAACCAGCAACACACAAGCTTCACTCAACCAGGTTCGAATCTTATCCACACCGTGGGTCAGGGTACATAGTGGAAGAATCACACGAACAAAATCATCGTTAGCTAGACTAACTGCCACTCCAGACACAACAATGACAGCCTGATAATCACTAATCTGACGGATTCTGTCATCCATCTGTGTCCAGGATGAGGCTAGCAGAGTCGCCAGACATGTTCGTCCACACCCAGGCTCTGCTCTGATGAGACAAACTCTGCCACTGGGTCTCGAACCATCACCACCATCACCACCACCACCAGCAGCAGCGTTCAGTTTAGTCACCAAATTCTGGACACCTATATTCTGGCCGATGTCCGGACTGTTGAGGCGACAAAAGTTATCCAACTTTTAACCAGCTTTATCTCTGTGTGCATTGAAGTATGTGAATAATTGTAAAGATCAGCCCTGAGACACTGTACATTATTTGGAGTCTTGTTTTGCAAATGCTGAGGCAGCCATGCAGCTTACTAGGTCAGCTCTCAAGCTTACTCACTAGTCCATAACTAACAAAATAGTACTAATAGCCAATAAAATTTGAAAGCTTGCAGATTCAAGTTAATTAAATATGATATACAAATGCTATATTTAGTATAACATTTAAAATTAATTTACGACATTTTTGAGTATATTTATACTTTGTCTGGAGCTTGTGACACAAAAAATAGTACACACACACGTGCTAAAACTATTAGGCCATAATGGTGCCAATAATAATAATGATAAGAAATATTTTAATAAATTTGCATTCAGAATTTATAACTCAAAATTTTTGCATTGCAAATTATAAGTGGTTAAAGGTAATGTTAATTATAAGGTGAACTTAGATTTACGTAGACGATTTAGATTGGATCCAGATTTACGAAGCAGTTACGCAAGCACCTCAATCTTTGGCGACTTTGTTTACAATTATTAAACAGTTAATGAGCTCGGAAGCACCAGGAGGCTGTTTATAACAATAACAACAGTTGATTGGCAAGTTTTCATGCTTGTAAACTGTTTAATAAATGTAACCAAAGCCGTCAAAGATTGAGGATAGATGTTCACGTTCGTAAGTCCTTGCCTAACTACTTCGTGAATCAGACCTGCATTATGTACCCCTATTAACTACTTCGTTAAGGTGTTCCTATATTCAGTTACACATACGAAACACAAGAGCTGTGTAAGCATTGGAGATACAGTTGAAGGGACATGCAGCATTCAACGGTCAACTATTTCCACGCATATCTCACTGTGAGGACAATATGCAACTGAAAATTCACACCCCAGAAGTGACTCGAACCCATACTCCCAGGAGCAACGCAACTGGTATGTACAAGACAAGTGTCTGAGTATGGCAAGATGAATCTGTGACGCGGGAGGGAGTCCAAAAGACTTACACTATGAACAAATCCACAAGGGCCGTGACGAGGATTCGAACCTGCGTCCGGGAGCATTCCAGACACTGCCTTAATCGACTGAGCTACGACAGGGGTAAAAAGAGTTGAAACCGAAGTTCTACTGAACTTACTGGATCTTACTACGGGATCCAGTAAGTTCAGTAGAACTTCGGTTTCAACTCTTTTTACCCTGTCGTAGCTCAGTCGATTAAAGCAGTATCTGGGATGCTCCCGGGCGCAGGTTCGAATCCTCGCACGGCCCTTGTGGATTTGTTCATTTGATGCATCACGTTAGTGTGATCTCTGTGTGTAACTTACGCTATACTAATGTAGAGCGTAAGTTCTATCCAACACCTCCAATAGGGAAGTTCATCCAGGTTGTACCAAGATTATTTGTTTATAATTCCTGCTGTTGAGGACACGATGGCTATAATTAGGCTTCCTGTAGACAGGAAGCCTAATACTTAGGAAGGAAGCCTAATAATTACACAGGAAGCCTATAATTAGGCTTCCTGTTCTCAGTTCTCGACTCACAGATCTCTGACTGTGAGTCGAGAACGGAGACCACTCTACTACAGGTCCCAAGTACTGCACTCCTGCAGAGTCATAACAGTTCCCCAATGGGACTTTTCAACTAGATTCAATCGCACTCGGTTTGTTCATGAGATTCAAATGTCATTCTCCACCCACACTTGCTCCTGCATGCATAATTGTTTGACCAATAAGTTCAAATACTGTATTCATTTCAGAGGACTTGGCCCCATTTACTCTCAAACTGTATTTGGACATAACTATGCGGCCATTGTGGTTACGAGGAAGAGGATAGATTCGGGACTAAAGAGTTACACGAGAGGGATATAGAGGTGGAAGGGGCGGACATCAGGTGACGGGAAAGGATTAACCCAGGTGAACAGATAGGGCGAGTTCCACTCACCTGGGCACTAGCAGACTCGAACCCCGGACCCCATCACGTGTTTTAGATATGGTGAGTTGTTGTTGTGCATGTCTGAGAGTACACAAGGCCCGAGTGGGAGCACAGTGCATGAAGAGTTTCAGGGGACAGGGCTTGGAGTGAAGGTAGAGACCACGACAGAGTGAAGGTAGTTTATCACAAGGGAGTGAATGTTTGGCATGTTCATACAGAAAACTGTGTTTTTTTCATTCTTATGCTCCTTTAATCAAGTCAAGATCAAGTTCTCTTTTCTTCAACATAGTTCCATAATATTTGTAAGAAAGTCAACTATGCCAAAGTTAGAATAATGAATAACAGGTTTGTATAGGAAATAACATGTGAAGAAAATGGGTCACAAACGCACTCTCTCTCCAAAGCCTAAATTACAACAGCCTATTCTTTTACACAATAATGTCTAGACCCAACAAAAGGGATAAATGGGACTCACATGGGGGCTTTGTGGGTCCTTTTCTTGGGCATCTCTCTGGCCTCCGATACCCAGAGCAAGAGTGGGTCCACTTCTGGTTCAGGGAACAGCTGATGGCGCATACGAAGCTCCACTGTGACGTCCTCTGAGGAAAACCATAGATATTATAACACACAGATTCTCTAAATTCTCAGGGGAATTGACAGGGTAGACAAGGATGCATTATTGAACACGGGTGGCACGCGAACAAGGGGACACAGGTGGAAGCTGAGTACCCAAATGAGCCACAGGGACGTTAGAAAGAACATTTTCAGTGTCAGAGTAGTTAGTAAATGGAATGCACTAGTGATGTGGTGGAGGCTGACTCCATACACAGTTCTAAATGTAGATATGACAAAGCCCAGTAGGCTCAGGAACCTGTACACCAGTTGATTGACGGTTGAGAGGCGGGACCAAAGAGCCAGAGCTCAACCCCCGCAAGCACAACTAGGTGAATACAGAGTACGGTTTCAAAGATACATATTGCTAATACTGTCACAGTATTTAGTTACTTATATTAGCCTCAGTGAACGTTACTTATATTAGCCTCAGTGAACGTTACTTATATTAGCCTCAGTGAACGTTACTTATATTAGCCTCAGTGAACGTTACTTATATTAGCCTCAGTGAACGTTACTTATATTAGCCTCAGTGAACGTTACTTATATTAGCCTCAGTGAACGTTACTTATATTAGCCTCAGTGAACGTTACTTATATTAGCCTCAGTGAACGTAAATGATATAGGGATTGATAATAATCATTCCCGTTACTCAAGGCAACCCTGGTATGATTGATAATTCAATCATTGAAGATAGTTCAATAATTATCTTCAATGCTTGATCTGTTTAATATACATCAATGTTAATCATACACCAGCTTTAAAAGCTTTGCTTTTGTAATTTTTTCACCCAAGGACAATATAAAGCTTAGCTTCGCTATCATTAGGGCATATATATATATTGGTATTACTGTATATCAATTTTACAGTAAATGCTGTACTCTATTGTAATTATCACTTTTCCCACAATCCTCTACTGCAATACAAGATGCAAACCACAACAACAGCCTGAATAATAAATTTGAATTCATAAGGATTATCGAATATTTACATTCTAGCCTCATGAGCCTCAATAGATCTTGTCTTATCAACCATAGATAATTTCCCCCACATATCTCAGTACTCCACACATATGTGTTATATAATTTTTAATCCATTGTTATTACATTGTAGAGAATAAATCATAGTAATCTCACTGAAATAAATTATCCAACCTACACAACTGAAAGGAAAGTTATGATGTTTTGAGCCTTCCTGGACCCTTTATCGAGTCATACCTGCTTGATGGAGTTCTGGGAGGTCTTCTACTCCCCAGGCTTGGGGGCCAAGCTTGAGGCAAGGCTTGGGGGCCAAGCTTGCGGCTAGGCTTGGGGGCCAAGCTTGCGGCTAGGCTTGGGGGCCAAGCTTGCGGCTAGGCTTGGGGGCCAAGCTTGGGGCAAGGCTTGGGGGCCAGGCTTGGGGGCCAGGCTTGGGGGCCAAGCTTGGGGGGGCCAGGCTTGGGGGCCAAGCTTGGGGGCCAAGCTTGGGGGGGCCAGGCTTGGGGGCCAAGCTTGAGGCAAGGCTTGGGGGCCAAGCTTGCGGCTAGGCTTGGGGGCCAGGCTTGGGGGCCAAGCTTGGGGCAAGGCTTGGGGGCCAGGCTTGGGGGCCAGGCTTGGGGGCCAAGCTTGGGGCAAGGCTTGGGGGCCAGGCTTGGGGGCCAGGCTTGGGGGCCAGGCTTGGGGGCCAAGCTTGGGGGCCAAGCTTGCGGCTAGGCTTGGGGGCCAGGCTTGGGGCCAGGCTTGGGGGCCAGGCTTGGGGCCAGGCTTGGGGGCCAGGCTTGGGGGCCAGGCTTTGGGGCCAGGCTTGGGGGCCAAGCTTGGGGCAAGGCTTGGGGGCCAAGCTTGCGGCTAGGCTTGGGGGCCAGGCTTGGGGCTAGGCTTGGGGGCCAAGCTTGCGGCTAGGCTTGGGGCCCGGCTTGGGGCCAGGCTTGTTGCCAGGCTTAGGGGCCAGGCTTGGGGCTAGGCTCGACTTTTGATACCTTGGTCCAATATATTTGCTTGGAGTGGCCCACAGGCCCACATATCCACTACAACATAGTTGATTTGGCACTTCTTGCAGGAAAATGGATTTTTTTTGTTCATGAAACAGTCCACCTTTGTTGCGAAAATATTTATAATTCTTGCTGGAAGGGTTTTGAATAACCGTGAACCTCTGATGTTCTTACAGTGTTCTCTAATTGTTCCTATGGCGCCTCTACTCATTACTGGCTCTGTTCTCCATTTCATATCTTTTTTGTAGGTTATTTTACTGTGTGAATTGTGGACCTGTCTTCAGGTATCTTCTATGTATATAATATTTTATATCTCTCTCGTCTCTTTTCCAAAGAGTACATTTTGATAGCTTTGAGACGGTCCCAATAATTTAGGTGCTTTATCTCGTCTATGCGTGCCGTATATGTTCTCTGTATTCCCTCTATTTCAGCAATCTCTCCTGCTTTGAAGGGGGAAGTGAGTACTGAGCAGTACTCAAGACGGGACAACACAAGTGACTCCATCCTAATTCATCCCAATCCATCCTAATCCACCCTATCATCTTCCTGAGATACTTTGATCTGCTCGGGTTACACGCACTAATCGTCAGACACCATAATTCACATATCTTCCACATGTTGCTTTCCTCCATGAATTTCCTTGACTTCCATGAATTTATCTTGACTTTATCTTGTGTTCTATATATGTATTTCGCCTAAGTTTTCATTTTTATTCATCTCTAAGTATCTGGAATCGATCACTGTTAAACAGGATGATCTGAAGAATATATCTGAGGAAGGAACACATGAATGATAAGCAGAAATGTGATACATATGAGAATCTTAGTGCAGAGAATAACGGACACAGACACATATAATATATAAGGAAGTCTCTGATTAAACTGTTCCTGAAACTTTATAAAGTCCTGGACCCTTTATCAAGTCCTGGACCCTTATCAAGTCCTATATAACCTGAGCTTGTAAAGCACCTTAATCACCTTCAGTGGTTAAGTTCTTAATTGCACACTAGTTTCTCTATCAGCTACCTCACCCTGTCAGAGTAAAAGAGACAAATGTATGTGTGTGTATATATGTATGTATGTATGTATGTATGTATGTATGTATGTATGTATGTATGTATGTATGTATGTATGTATGTATGTATGTATGTATGAATGTATGTATGTATGTATGTATGTATGTATGTATGTATGTATGTATGTATGTATGTATGTATGTATGTATGTATGTATGTATGAATGTATGTATGTATGTATGTATGTATGTATGTATGTATGTATGTATGTATGTATGTATGTATGTATGTATGTATGTATGTATGAATGTATGTATGTATGTATGTATGTATGTATGTATGTATGTATGTATGTATGTATGTATGTATGTATGTATGTATGTATGAATGTATGTATGTATGTATGTATGTATGTATGTATGTATGTATGTATGTATGTATGTATGTATGTATGTATGTATGTATGTATGTATGTATGTATGAATGTATGTATGTATGTATGTATGTATGTATGTATGTATGTATGTATGTATGTATGTATGTATGTATGTATGTATGTATGTATGTATGTATGTATATGTGTGTGTATGTATGAGTATAAAGTATATGTGGTAGCTGATCAGAATTACATTTCACCTTTGTAAATTCACATTAATGACACTATGTAAAAGACACATAGAACACTTTATGTAGGGCATACGTAAATCTGTGTATCTATATATTTACGTATGTAGCTTAGCCTAGCATTTTAAAAGCACTACAATCACCTTCTGTGGTTGATTGTTCAATAAATCCCTGAACTATATGTTTAACACATCTCTAACCCTATCCATGGAGGACAGAAGAAAATGTATATATGCTGGTGAGCATTGTAAATGTCTGGCCACGTCTGTGGTAGAAAATAATAATAATATTAATAAAAACACCCTTAGCAAGTCCTAGACTCCTTATCAAGTCCTTAGACCCCTTATCAAATGATGGCATATTTCCTGTTACATTCATTTATTATCATTATAAGTGTAGGTTGGGGGTCACATTGTTAGTAACAACATTATTAATAATATTATCAGAACTCGAATGCCTTACCTGAGCCTTATACATAGGTGAAGCACTACAGGTACGGCAGTTAGTATGGTGATGGGTGGAGAGGTCTATACACAGTCCGTGTGGTGCGGGGCCCCCACAACCTCAGCCTTAGAGCACTATGAAAGCTCCACAGGGAAAATATATGTATAGTTTATGCAGCTTTGTGCAAGCTCTTCATCACACATATCAATAATCCAGCCCTAATCCGGCCCATATGTATTATATGATTTAGTCCAGAGGGAAATTTTTTTGGGAGTGAAATTAAATTGGTGTAGAATAATGAAACATATGTGTTGGTTCCGATGGGTCCATACAAGGTAGCTCATATTGGTCCATACAAGGTAGCTCATATTGGTCCATGTGAGGCAGCTCCTATTGGTCCATACGAGGCAGCTCCTATTGGTCCATATGAGGCAGCTCATATTGGTCCATATGAGGCAGCTCCTATTGGTCCATATGAGGCAGCTCCTATTGGTCCATATGAGGCAGCTCATATTGGTCCATATGAGGCAGCTCCTATTGGTCCATATGAGGCAGCTCCTATTGGTCCATATGAGGCAGCTCCTATTGGTCCATATGAGGCAGCTCATATTGACTCATATGAGGCAGCTCCTATTGGTCCATATGAGGCAGCTCCTATTGGTCCATATGAGGCAGCTCATATTGACTCATATGAGGCAGCTGCTATTGGTCCATACGAGGCTGCTCCTATTGTCCTAACACAAAGCAACTCCTATTTGTGTCCACCCAAACTCATTCACTTGTACGTTTTAACATATACTTCAAAACAATCACATGACTGCTTGAAACAATCAGATCATCACATACATGTGTGTCTAAGTACAGTAATTTGTGCCATAAATTGCTGCCATTTGCCTATATAAAAAAATATATGACTATATAGATGAAAAGTCAAATTTAATATATCTGACGATGTTTTGTCTAGTAAAGCAACATCAATTTGTCTTCAATTGTCTTTGACAGTCAACAATCTTACCCATTTTAATTGATGAAGTTGACAGATATTGAATTATAGATATATTAATGCATGATAGATATATTAGGTCTTTGTAAGCTTCAAACTCACGAGGACAAATCAAAACTATAGGCTATTACATATAGTAATAGCCTAGCCTATGGAACAAATAACAATTATAGGCGATTTAGTTACGTGTAAATTTTGGCTGTAGCAAGCAGAAGATTAATTACAAATTACTATAAGTTTTCAAGGCAATTTTGGAATATATATATATATATATATATATATATATATATATATATATATATATATATATATATATATATATATATATATATATATATATATATATTAGTCTACAATTTATAATATAATGGATGAGATGGCTTCTAATAATATTAAAATGAAATGCAAAATATTTATACAGAAATTTGAATTTATAATATTTATTTTTAGTTGATGAACAAGAGGCTCAAAGCAATTCAAGAAACTCTTAGGACAATGTTACAATGTATAAAAAGTTACTCTAGATGTTATACTGAAGGTAGATAGATATATTGGGGAAAAATATAATAAATCTATACTGAGCAATTTATTCCATACTCGAAGTGAAATGTGGAATACAGTATATTGCATTTCATACAGGTATGATATTAATTCAAATATTACTGTATAATATTACAGACAGAATCATTCTCAAAAACTGTATTGTATTAGATGAAATATATCTCACACAACTGTAAAACTTGCTGGCTACAAAACTTGACTAAAGCTCATGTCAACAG